GCAGATCGCGAGGTCTTTTCTCCTGTGGAACTGCTGATGGGTTTGAACCACTCCCCTTTAAGTTAGCAGCTGAACGCTTAACCATTGCACTACCAGGGTTCCTTAATATATATAGGCCAGTAGAATAGAATTGAAAGTCCAGAAATAAATCTGTGGTCAACTGATTTTCAACAAGGGTGCCAAGTCCATTCAGTGGGGAAGAAGGAATCTCTTTAGTAAATGGTGCTGGGAAAATGGGATTTTGACATGCAGAAGAATGAAACAGGATCCATGGCTCACACCATACACAAAAGCCAATTCAAAGTGGATTAAGGATCTAAATGTGAAAACTAAAACTGTAAAATTCTTAGAAGAAAATATAGGAGCGAGGCTGTGAGGCCTAGTTTTTAACAACAGATTATCAGATATAATAACAAAACTTGAGCAGCAAAAGAAAAAATAGATCAATGGGACCTCATAAAAATTAAATACTTTGCACACCAAAGGATTTTATCAAAAAAGTGCAGAGAATCTACAGATTGGGAGATAGTTTTCAAGAACCGTCTATCAGATAAGGACCTAATATCCACCACATTAACATATATATAACATAAGATACATATATCTTCTACAACTTAAAAACAAAAAGACAGACAACCCAATCAAAAAATGGACAAATGACCAGAAGAACTAGATGGTGCCCAGCTACCACCAGTGATCACCCTGACAGGGAACACAACAGAGTCCCTGACAGAGCAAGAGAAAAAGGTAGAGCAGAACTCAAATTCACATAAAAAGACCAGACTTAATGGTCTGACTGAGACTGGAGGAACCCCGGAAGCCATGGCCCCTGAATGCTCTGTTAACCCAGAACTAAAACCATTCCCGAAGCCCACTCTTCAGACAAAGATTAGACTGGACTATAAAACATAAAATAATACTCGTGAAGAGTGTGCTTCTTAGTTCAAGCAGATACACGAGACCAAATGGGTGGCTCCTGATAGGGGGCAGGATGAGAAAGCAGGAAGGGATAGGAGCCAGACCCGGTGGAAAGGGGGAGTGTGCTGTCACATTATAGGGATTGCAAGTAATGTCACATAACAATATGTATAAATTTTTGTATGAGAAATTGAGCTGTAAACTTTCATCTAAGGCACAATTTTAAAAAAAAGGAAAAAAAATGGACAAATGAATTAACACACAGCACATCAAAAAGAGGATTCAGATGGCCAACAAGCACATGAAAAGATGCTCAACATTGTTAGCCATTAGGGAGATGAGAATCAAAACCACTATAAGCTATCTCCTCACCCCCATTAGAATGATAATATTAAAAGGAATACAACAAATGCTGGTCAGGTTGTAGAGAAACTGGAACCTTCATCCATTGCTGGTGGGAATGTAAAATGGTACAACCATTGTGGGAAACAGTTTGGTGGGTCCTCAAAAAGTTGAACATGTAACTTCCATATGACCCAGCAATCCCAATCCTAGGTATATACCCAGAAGAAGTGAAAGCAGGAATACAAACAGAAACGTGAATACTAAAGTTCATTGCAGGACTTTTCACAATAGCCAAAAAATGGAAACAACCAAAATGTCTGTCAACAGATGAATGGATAAACAAAATAGTAAATACATATAATGGTATATTATGCACTGTAAAAAGAACCTTGAAAACATGCTGAGCAAAATAAGTCAGTTGCAAAAGGATGAATACTGTATTATTTCACTGATTTAAAATAAGCATATATATATACAGAAACCAAAGATCATTAATGGTTATATGGAGAGGGAGGTGGATGGAGGAAGCGGAAGTTTTTGTTTGGGGCAGGGGGCATTGAGTTTATGTTAATGGTGGTGGAATATATTGGGAAAGGATAACCGTGGCATAACATGAAAAATACAATCAATGTCATTGAATTGCAAATGTATAAGTTGTGCTGAGGAATATTTTGGTGTGTATATTTTCACCCAAAAAAAAGCCACAGTGCATTTTCTCTTACTGAAATTTAGCAGCTTTTTCTTCATTAAGCATTCTCCTCATTATTTTTTATTAGATTACTTTGTTCAGTTTTGCTAAGTTGTATTTTTTAAAGTTTATCTTCTTAGTGGGTTTTCAAATTCATTGATATAATGTTAGATTAATATGGTTCTTTTAATATTTTTAAAGTCTGTAGCATCTGTAGTGATACATCTTTTATTTCTTGTATTGGCTATTTGTGTCTTCTCTTTTTTTTTCCTTGATTGAATTCATGAATGTTTATTGGCTTTTCAGATAATCAGATCTTGTCTTTTTTGATCCTTGTGATTATGTTTGTTTTATACTTCATTAATTTCTGCTTTCATTTTTATTTTTTTCTTATATAAACTTTGTGTTTATTTGCTTTTTCTCCCTAACTTATGGTAATAGACATTTGGCTTATTTATTTTCAATATTTCATTTAATAAATGAATTTAAATCTGGACATTTCCTTCTTGTAAGTGTTTTGGCAGCATGCCACAAATTTTGATAAATAAGGTTTTGCTGTTTTTCCATGAAAATATTTTAGAATTTTTCTTGTGATTTCTTCTTGAACTTCAGAATTATTTAAGTGTGTGTTAATTTTCCAACATACTGGTTTTTTTCTTGATATTTTTTGGTTTCCAACTTAATTTAATTCCTTTGAAATTTGTTGGGACTTTGTGCTTTGTTTCTTAAAATAGATACTCCATATATACCTGAAACAAATGTGTATTATAAGGTTGTTTGGTATAGTAGCTATGTATGTCCATTAGGCCATGTTTGTTAATCTCGTTGTTCACTTTTCTACATTCTTACTGATTTTTTTTCTATTTCTTTCATCAGTTACCAAGAGAGATATGTTTAAATCTCCAGCTATGATTGTAGCTTTGTGCATTTCTTCTCAAAGTTCTGGGAATTTTTGCCTTATATATTTTGATGCTATGTTACTGATGTATTTTATATATTTCCTTGGTTAAATTTAACTCCCCGTTGACTCTGTGTGCATTTTTGTTTGTTTGCTTATGATTTAGGCTTAAAAAGGGAAAACAAACAAAAAACCACAACCATGCCCATTGTAAGTTCCTAGTTTATACACTCTCTTACTCACCTAGATGATTCTCTCACACCTCTACTTTCTCTTCAAACCTCCAAATATTGTCCTCTATCTACTCTGTGTTTCCTACTTTAATGAGGAAAATGGAAATATCAGAAATTTCCAATTACTGAGGGTATATACTCACATACTCTTTTTTTCATTCTCATATCTAAAGCCGAATTCTATTTACACACTGGATTCCATATACTCTCACCCATTCAAAGACATATTTTTCTAGTTCTTTGTCTTCTACAGAATCTTTTTTTTTTTAAATTTTTTAATTTTTATTTTTTGTTCTTTACTGGATTATTTACCATACAAATACGGTGTTATTTCTCCAAACTTAAGTAATGTCATGGTTTGAATTATGTCCCCCAAAAAATGTGTATATCAGTTTGGCTGGGCCATGATTCCTGGTACTGTGTGATTTCCCTATGTGTTATAAAACCTGCCTCTGTGATGTTAATGAGGGA